GAGTTCCAAGGAGAAATAAGAGGAGGATCCTACTGGCAACATGAAGTAACAAGCAAACCACCACTCTCTCCCTCTCACATACTGATGAGTTCAAAGAATTCAAAAGGAAAAAACCAGTTTAGCTCCTTCTCAAAAGGTGAATTGTATTGGGTCCACTGCACACCGATAATAGGTAGGTTTACTATCGGAATCGGTTCTTGCGTGCAATGATTGAGCTTGAGACAGATTTCTCAACTAACATTGGCAGTGTCCCCATCTGAACAACCAAATGAAAGAACCTTGGCAGCACTGGCACATGCTCCTTGTGGAATTAATCCTCCATTAGCACAATCCACTGATCATATGACTTGACTGCTTCTCGCTGTACTCAACTTTTAGTGCGAAAACATAGTTTATGATGCTGTCTATGATGCTGCTGATTCGGACTAGCGTACAGAAACAAAAGTATTATGGTCCTTCAGATAGACTTTGAGTGTCACTGTGAATGAAACACGGTTTCACATTGCGCTCTTAATCCATGGTTACTGCAATATAAATCAAGAAAAGATGGAATCATGGGTTGGAAGAGTTTACAGAGTAGGTCATGACAACATAACCTTGTTTTATGTGACACTAAAGCAGGTAAGAGTACATGGCCACCATGTTGGCAAGTGCTGCTCCACTTGATATTAGATTCCATCAACATTCTGCAAGCACAATTAGCAGAAGAAAGAGATGTTGCTAATAAGAGAGATGATTCATTTTTCTGGCCCTGGAAACATGCTAATTCCTGCAGAGTCAAGTCAATGGTTGATAAAGAAATGATGCCATCCTCGAGCTACAATCAGGCAAAAATTTACTCATTTTTCTGTCAGAACATTTTACTTACTGAATGATACAAGCCAAGATAGACTGAAGAACAGTTGACAACTCACGAAGCTTCCATCATCCAGGAAGAACACAGAAAGTAATGCATGAAAGCCTTGCCTGTACTCCTTGCCCTGGTTCACTTATATCAACCGATCAAGTTTTAATTGGTTTAGTTTCATCAAGCTTCTCCTTCTTTCTCGGTTTTGTTCCTTGTTGTACCATGCATCCTCACTCCCAAGACACTTACCCTCTTGCCAGAAGAAACTAAAGGCTTCTTCTGATATACTTCGAAGCCGATAGATTGTCAATGTCTATCAACCTTTTTGAGCTCAAGTTATCGGTTTCCAACCTCTCCACTGCTCGACTGCAGCAAAGATTCTGATGTCTTAAATCATAGAATACTAATGTTCTTCTGATATACTAGTGCTCTATGCAGCTCGACTTTAATAGAACACTAAGATTTTATGTCGCTTCATATATTTCCCATTGTCAGGTAGTATGTAAAATCCTTTTACAGTAATGTCGGCATTCCGACCTCCAGCTGCAGAAGCATCCTGGAGAACCACATTCTGAAACTTGCAGACCTGATGTTTCCTGGCACCAAGGTGTTTGATACACATTCTGATTACTTTACCGTTTGTTGTGTTCTTCCTTGCCCCCTCAGCGCAACCCAAGAGGCCTGCTTGAACATTCTCAGCAAATATAGCCTTGTCGAATGAACTCCTCATCTGGACTTTTCAAAGAAGATTCAGATCGCAATGACTCGGCTATCTAAGAGGGAAGACGGAAGTGACTGAGGCTACAGTTCACCTGACTGACAATGGCATAGAGTGCTAAGGCACTACAGGTACGCAGGAACTGTATGATCACATTAGAGACCAGAAACTAATGAATCAGAACTAATCAATCAGATATGAGAATAAGAAATACTTTGGTTTCATGAGCTGAATATGTTGCAGTATACCAGATTACAAGTCTGTGAACAATGAAGACAGCTTGAATCAAAATCATACATTGTCTGCATCACCGAAAGCATTGTTTAACAAGGAATTTTCCTCAAGCCTAAAGCTACTTACTTTGTCACTGCTCGCTAGCACACAGTCAAACTCCGAAAGTTTTACAGACGAAAAATTGATCCTTGTCTGAGCATACAAGCTTAAAATTCAAATGGAAGCCATTGGCCAGTAGCTGTAAAGCCTTGTGCATTACGATACCCCTATCCATCAAAATCATGTACATTGCCTATACCTTCCATCGCGAAAAATCATTGTGATTATAACCATCATCAAATACCTTACCCACAAATATGAGGCCACCTATACAGGCACATTAAAGCTTAAGTAGGTTCCATAAAAGATTTGGAAAGTGTTAATAGCAGGACTATCACACAAGTGAACCATCCAAAGTTGGTGCCAAATTCCTAACCAAGCAAAATCAGACATAAAGAGGAACTTCCTTGAGGCCTAAAAGGTAAAACATGTCTGATAGAAAGCTATAACTCACAGGATGTAGTAGAAAAACACTTAAATTTGGGAGAATCTAGATTGGAGGAAATGAACAAGCTATAACAGAGGGAGCTTGTTCATTTCAAAGGCACAAATAAGCAAATAAGCAGATTAAACAAACCCCCCAGCCTAGGTTTTAGCAACAAAAGGAATCAGAATCTCTTGTGTCAAATTAAAGACCGAGGCTTAATTAGAGTTCATAGTAACAAGCACAGCAAAAAAAAAAAAGGTTAACCTAGTATTTATTATAAAGTTCTCACTCAACCTGAAGTCACAATTCAATCACGAATTTTTGGAAGAATATGAAGAATGGATTCTTTTTCTTCCACCCACCAGCATTTATTTTGGTATGCACACACCGGAAAGCTAGCCAATTAATTAATGGATCTTTATCCTAAGGCTTAGTCTGCAGCATAAAAGTATCTCAAGAACATGTAATTTTCTTGGAATTAGATAAGAATCAACAGCAGTTAGATCAAAGTTAAGCATTATATGTATCCATGTATTGAAATTAATCTTAACCAGATACCTCACAACACAGGATGAAGAAATTGCAGCTGTAAATGCCAACAACATAATTAGGTAAATGAGAAGACCAAGGCCAAAGTGATAAGAAACATACAAGTCCTGTTGAATCCATCTGCAGCACCAGGCTCCCAGCATTTGAATCAGTAAATGGAGATTCCACATGCATACCACTTCTCTTCCTCCTCAGCTCGTCCACGAAAGAGTCCAAACGCTCAGTAGCATCCCCGACCACGGCACTGCCTTCATCACCAATTGCAGGTCCAACACGCATGCATCGACGCATCTTCATTTGTCGCCTCTACCTACCACAAGTTATCAGATTCGACGAAGATGATTCAGGTTCTTCTCCTCGAGCAGGGGCCACGGAGAGAGAAACCCTTAATCGGGTCGACATCGAAATATCAAAAAGATCGCAGCTTTAATACGATTGGTACGATTTCAGGAACCCAGACGAGGATTCAAAGATCACAAACAACAGATTTTCTTGAAACTTAGGAAGAACGAGGATCTGCAACTTCTGCCTCGACGGAGTCCGCATCTGACAACGATGAGCGACTTGCGCGCCGCGTCGGCGTCGATCAAAGCAACCGGAAGAGGATCCAAAGCTGATGTCATAACCTAAAACTTACTCGAACAATATTATATATATTAGAGAACGATTAAGAGAAAATTATTTGTGGGAATTGGTGTCATATAGATTCGCTTTAATTGCATTGAGGTGGGATGGATGGTTTGGCTCACACTGTGCCTTCTTCTCTACGACAGAACTGTATGATATGTTCTATTGCAGATTAAATAGCTCAACAGTAAATTAAATTTCTTGTCCTCCAAATAATATGATCCCCAAACAAGTTGTTCTCATTTAAAGAATACAAAAGGATCATCATCAACCCCAGCATATAAGCATATGATGATTACAGGAGCTCCCACTGCTCCTGTTTCCTCCTCACAGGAACATGGGCGATGTCAACAGACTATCTTGCCTATTATGAACTGTGATCTCTCCAATGGCTGTAAAGCTGAGATCCTCCCGTCCTCACAAACTTGGAGTCCTCACACCTGTTATCCACTTCGGTCTCCATGATCGTCCATGTTTCTGGTGCAAGAAAGCACCTTCTTCTTTTTCCCAGACCTGGATGGTTCTTGTACTTCCAAGGAAAGGAAGCTGCAGTTAGCTTTTGGTGGAGCAGTTCCTCTTGGACCATTCTGGTCGCTGCTACCTGTTCTTATCCTCCAAAGGTGGACACCCAGTGCTCGCTGATCATGGCTTGCTCCACAGATTTCCAACATAAACAGGAAGAAAATGATGGTTTCTCCTCAAAAGTAGAATCTGAGGTGATGTTTTGCAAAGCATGATGCTGAAATGTTTGGGAGGCAAGATCAGATCATGTATGTAGACATCTCCTTCTATCAGCTGTCTTTTACTGGGTTCTTAGTCATTTTAGGTAGCAGAGTGATAAGAGCAGCAGCAGCTCCTTAGATCTGAGTTTGACAGCTTGGGTTATGGTTTGTATATTTCATCAATCTTAAGGTATTTCCAATATTTAAAATCGTTAGTCAAGATCCAAAAGATTGGATATGTTTTACAAGCTGTGGATTCATCCTCATAATTAGCCATCTATTGCACTGGTCACAGTGTGATGGCAGATCTGCATCATCTTGATATTAAATCCTTTGAACTCGATCTTATTCAGTATGTTTGACTGGAAAACCTAGCATTAAATCCAGGTAGGATGACAGATGTTGATGGATAATATTTAATGGAAAGAAACTGAGGTGTTCTTCTTCGCTCGGCCACTTTTAAACTGATACTGCCACTTATCATCACAGAAATGATGAGACTCACTTTTCCTTGAAGCTGATGAATGTGTTTTCTTCCATGTTGAAAGCACAGTATCTTTCTTTTCTTCCTCCTAATGTTGAGTAAATCGGTAGAAAAGCATTCACTCATTCCACTGATCCGAGCATTTCGCATCACATCAAGCAGACCCATCAAATCTCAAGAGTCCATCCGCTTCAAGGCATCAACAGAGAAGACCGCATGCACCGGGGAGATGTGGGGGGGGGCTCCGGCCCACCAGAGTGGATTTGCTCCACCAAAACTCCCCTTCCCGCAGAGCTCCGGAGAGCATCAATGGCGCCACTAGTTCTCGGGCTCATCTGCCCTCTATTTGCTTCCTTCCATGTCTCGCCACCAGCAGTCCATGTGCTCCGTCTTCCCCACCCTTCCCTCTCCCTGCTTTAAAGAAAAGAAGCCATCTTTAATGCCCCTGCGTGGGGAGAGCACGTGCAGCTGGGGCCAATCATGGAGGTGACTGCTCTGGCACTGCATGTGCCCCAATCACTACCTGCCCACTTCCATCCCTTCCCCTTGCCTCCATGGCTCCTCGCTTTAAAGCTCCCCGGATATGCCCCGCTCTCTCTCCCTCCGCACCCACCGCCACCTGACACGATGAGCAACACTTCCTCTCCAGTGACTGCTTCATCTTGTTCTCGCTCCTGGTAATACTCGGGACCTGACACCATTACCAGCTTCTTCTGCCCACACTGATCTGCTCTGGGTTTACTGCAAGGTCTGTAAGCGAGGATTCCTTGAGGAGGTACGTGACGTACGCGAGCGAGCGATGCATTCAGGAGCTCTTGTCGGCGTCGGAGTCCAGCCGGGCCGGAGGTGGCGATGGCTGGAAGGTCTTGGCGTTTCAGAACGGCGTGGAGATATCGAAGCGGAGCGCGGGCTCTCTCCACGTCTTCAGAAGCCGTTGGCTGCTCCGCTCGGTCTCCCCGCAGCAGTTCATCGTGGTCGCCACTGCCATCGATGCCGCCAAGGTGAGCTCAAACACTCTGCTATGCTCTGTTATCTACAAGCACCGCGAAGCGTCATCGGATCTAAGCTTTAGGGGTTCTTCGAGGATTCAACGAGAGTGGCAAGCCATCCATGCAGCAGCATGGATGATTCCTTGGCACTAGGCGGTAGGTGGGAAGCTCGATCCGATAACTGGTTGGATCTTCCCATGAGAGTCCACATGACATGTCCTGGAATCTTAGTCAGAGTTGTCGGAAGAACTTGCACTGTTGGCTGTGCTTCGAGACGACATCAAATACAATGTTGCGTCGGATTGACAAGAACAGTTGACCTTTGATGCGTTGAACCAGATCAGGATACTAGGAATAGACCGTATCAGATCTAGGCATACTAGGTTCTGATACATGATGCTAAGATCAACTTTGTTGTCTGCATCAAAGAATCACCTGCATGATGTGTCTTCTCTTTTCTACACCAGCAATGGGATCCGGACCTGGTGGAGGCCAAACACATCAAGGACCTCGATGACAACCTCAGCATCATCGGGCTCAGATTTGGAGACTCCTCGAAGCCGCTCTTCAAGAAGAGAGAGTTCATCGTCTACGAGCGTCGTGAGACTCTGGATGATGGAACCCTAGTAAGCTGCCTCCAAAACCCAATCAAGCTGATCGATAGAACATGATGTGTTTGATAGTTTTCCGTGTGGTTGATGACACGCAGGTGGTCGCGGTGGCTTCTCTGCCGAAGGAGATCGCGGCAGGACTGCAACCGAAGAACAACAAAGCGATTCGAGGGCTGCTGCTTCAGTCGGGGTGGGTGGTGGAGAAGCTTGAAGACGACTCTTGCATGGTGACTTATGTTGTGCAGGCAATCGAACGATCCATATCTATCTACACACACAGACACCAAAACATCATTTCATACTCTTGATGTTCTATGGTTCAGCTTCTTGTGGAATTCATGTAGTGTGCTTACTTGCTCTTCTTTCTTCTCTCTTGTTCTTGGCAGTTGGATCCGGCAGGCTGGTTGCCAAAGTGTTTTGTCAACAGGCTCAACACAAAGCTGGTCATGATCATTGAAAACCTAAAGAAGTTGGCAGAGACTTCCCCAATGGAGAAAGAAATGTGAATGTAAATTCCTACAGTTTATAAGAAACACATGAGCAAATGTATTGATAGACATTTTACTGATCTCATGTCCTTGTTTAGCCTTTACCACATCTCCATGACATCCACCATGCCCATGAATGTCAACCATGCATGGTAAAAAAATGTTATTTTCCTTTGCATAAAAAGCAGTTGGTTGGATGAATTCTTTGGCCACACCAGTTAAACATGACCTAAACAAAAGTTACATTTTAATATTTATATCTATGATTAGAAGTGGTTTAACATGTGTTTTTTGTATGGATATTAAAGACAATAGCATCAAAATTTGAGAGACATATGTACATTTGCTATATCAAAATTTACAATGGCATGTATGCTATTCTCAACTTTTGCAAAGATAATAAATGTGCAGAGAACCCCTGTTTTTTTTACCTTTTAAATCAACCACACCTTAATTAAACAACCATGGTCTTATATTCCAAAATTACCTTCCACAAACTAATTAAATCTTTTGCTAAAAAACACATGATACAATGCATATGGCAAAGAAAAGGCACATGGAAGTGCAGCTATGTACCATGTAGAGAAGTTTTCTGCCATTCCAATTACATCCCTTGACTGCAGAAAGCATTTTGTGATAGGATGCACCACCTTGGGAAAAGTCTTTGCAGATTGTTTGCAGATTTGTCGTGCACATGAAACTTTTGTGTCAAGCAGTTTCTTTTAGTCTTCCAAGTATACAACAGAAGCAGCAGTACAAACATGTACTATTTTTTTTTTCCCTTCGATCAAATATAAACATGTAATTTCAAGACAGAAAGTAGAATATCACCATAACATCTTGGATGAAGCAAGTCCAACTTCAACATGATTGTGAAGATGAAGGAAATGCATCTGGTTGCCTGTTCGGATGGGCAGCTTGGAATGCAGGCAGTTCAGCATACGCTTCATAGATTCTGGCTAACGTAGGGTACTGAGACTGCAGAAACAACATGCTTACCTAAGGTTTTTGAATAAACTGTTATCAAATGGAAAATTTTGGCAACAGATATAAAATCCAATTTTCAGGCTCTTGGGACAAAAGCAAGCAAGATATCAAGTAATGTTAGTCGACGGTGCAAACTCAGGAACTAAGATGAGACATGATAAATTTCATAGAAAGTAGAAGTTCCATCATTATTAGTTTACAAACAACAAATTTCAAGAGGTTGGAAGATTTTATTGTTTTCAGTTCCACAGTGCTTCAATCGAATTCAAGAAAATAGCCCACAAAGTGAAAGCAGAAAAGTTATATACAACTGATTACCATATCAATCTGGAAACGTGTTACTCCGACATATATCTGAGGTGCCAGAAACACGTCTGCCTGCATGTGACAATAAACATGTAATATAAATTTTCCATTGCAGTGGGTGACACATACATCTGATAAGATACGTGACCTTCTACCAAATAAGATTCATCGGCAAGTCAGTCTTTAGTAGATATTCATCGTATGGAAAAACTTACCACCAATATATGTGCCAACTGATTCATTCATCTAGAAAAAAAATCCATATTTGACGAGTGGGTGTAGTTCCACCTTATTAATTATATTTTACTTCTGTGAATTGTGCTGTGGATGAGAAACCCACTTAACAGTGTTAACTGGATAACTTTATTTCTCTCTTCTTTAAGCATGTTCTAGCTTTAGAAAGGTTTCAATTGGTCAGATTATCTTGACAGACATAGGAAGGCATCTAATGCACTGTGCTATTGGAAAATTTCTACCGATCAAAGCTTTTAAGTTATTTTTGATGGTTAATTAGTAAATGTTCTAAGCATTGAGCAAAAGTTGACTAGGCTCAGAGAGCCATGCCAATTTGTGATTGCCAACATGGTCAGTAAACAAAAAATAGTAAAACAGAAGAGATTTCTGTCCATTGAGATGTGAAGAGGATTGATAAGTAACAAAAAATATCTTGCCACTTACTCAGAGAAAAACACATACTTAATCAACTATTTGTATACATACACATGTCATAGCAAGGAAACAACAAAAGTTTTGGCAGACAAACCAGTTGTACTTTGTCTCCTGAAGCATATTTCCCAGCAGAGCCTTCTAACAATTTTTCTATTGCTATATCACAACAACATCAAAAAATGGTCAGCTTAAATGAGAAATGTCTATCCTATGAATCAAACTCAGAAAACTTGGGCACTCAAATAAGCAGAAGACTAATATGAACATTAATTGTTTGAACAACAAGCATGATAAAATTCTTATCTATTTGCAAACGAATAAATATTTCCTTTATAAATGTATCCATTATGGCATTGATTTCCAGCTGTTTATTGGTATTTCCCATTAATTACCAACCAAACATGTGCCTCATTTTTGTTTCATTTTAAGAGAAATCATGCACAAAAAATTTAATGTCAGATCAGATATTTTGCTTGCACTATTCTGACAAACATACCAGCAAAAGAACATTCTAGTACTGCTGCATACAAATGCATGTTGTCCTAACAGAGTTGACATAAAAGAGATTGCATGTCAATCTAAGGTGACCAGAGAACAACATAACAGTGTCCTAACAAGTTCAATCCCATCATGCAAATGAGAAGAATAAAACAAAAGCAAAAGTTGAAGAACATTTGTACTAAGGAAAACCACAGAAAATCAGAACAAAGAACAAATACTGATGAAAAGCAGGTTATCCAACACTAGAAAATTCTGGTGTTCATTAATAAATCTAGAAGATGGCTCATCAAAATTAGAAATGAAACTGGGGTTAATGGGAATCTTTCTTGGGACATTTTAAACCATAGTTTGTGGGGTTTCTTTTGTGCAATATGATGATATAAATTTATCAGAATAGGATAGTGATATAAGTTAAAGCCAACCAGTGAATCCATTGTTGATGTGACGCTGAGCCCATGCAACTTTCTCGTCAGAACTGATTTTTTCCTCAATGAAATTCTACGAAACCATTAGAAGAAAAAGTAACTTCCAATTTTTGTATTAAAATTTTGCAAAAGCAACATATAATTTCACCATCACTAATAAACATAATCCAGTTGGCCCAGCTTCTGACTTACCAATACAGAAAGCATCTGAAGTGGCTGGATACTTGAACTAATGATATTTGCTACCTATGATGAAAAGACATTTTAGTTTCTTGCACAAGTAATGGATAAAGGAACTTTATTTACTTCAAAAATAAATAAAGAAAAGGTCACAAAATCATGTCCAGCCTGGTGAGGGGAAAAGAAAGATACTTTAAGCAGGCTGATTATGCCTTAGATTATAGCATTCTTTCTGATGTAATCCCAACTCAAGTTCTTTTCTTGTAAAAAAGATAACCAACTCTTTTTAGTGGATGGATGCAGATTGTGCTATTGATTTTTGTTTAACTCTCTTAATTATTATGTGCAGTGGCAGACCATTGAGTTAATTTGTATCCTTGCTCTTTGCAAGGCAACACTGTGTCGTTACATTCCACTTGTGCTGTTAGGAACTAGATAGGGATCAATGAGAATAGAGACATGGAGATGAGCACTTTATTTCTAGATTTCCTAAGCAGTTTTTAAGATAGACATAATAAGTGTGGCAGGCAATTTCCATGAGTAGTGAGAAGCTTGGTGCTTATTAAGAGGGGCAAACAGAAAATTGTTTCTTGCAATTGGGAATACAAACAAGGTCAGTACTATAAAATACTTTTTGTGTAACATGATTACCATTTTGTTGAGCAAACAAGGTGCTTTAACTGCATTACCGGTTTTCGGTCTTGTAATCGCTAATTGGTTGCTTCTTTGGAACAAGAGGATGAAACATGCTATCGACATATATTGTTAAGTAGAAGCACTGGTGGAAAAAATGTTTGTTAAAATTTAAAAATTCATTAGCAAGAATATCATCAGCATGGTGGGCTCACCTGGAGATTGAGGGCTTTCTTTTTCAGATCTCGAGGCAGCAGTGGAAATTGAGGGTGCTCGTCTTCTAAATACTGTTCCAATCAACAAAAAAACACTTAATTAATCAGTAGCAAGATGTAAAACAACGTCCATTCCTCCAATATAAACAAAGATGCAATTAACAGAGAACCATCACCTACTCACCAATATGATAGCAAACGAGTCTGCAACTACTACATCACCATCCACAAATACAGGCACAAACCTAACTGGATTAAGCTTCTCGAATTCTACAATAAAACCATAACAAATCACTCAAAAGAACAATAAGTAGGGGGACAAAAAGCAAGCACTCTGATCATGCAAAATAACAACCGCAGAACAGGGGCAAACGAACATCAACTGACCTGGATCGAACTGCTCGCCCTTGGATAGATCCACGGCCTTGTACTCGTAATCCAACCCTTCGCGATCAGAAGGAAGCGATTGCATAAACAAACCATCAACACCGAGAGAGTGGAACCGAGATAGGGTTTAAGGAACGACCTAACCTTTGAGATTAAGCGCGATCCGGACTCGGTGCGAGCAGGAGCTCCGCCAGTAGGAGTAGAGCGTCAGCTTCTTCGGGCACGAGGCGGATTCCTGGAAGAGAAAAGGAGACGAACTTAGAAGAAATGGAGAGAAATTAGCACGAATAGAGACCGGTTCCGAAGAGCGGGGCGACGAGCTTACTACCGCTGAAGCGGTCGCCATGATTCCAGAAGCGGCGGTGGCCGCGGCGGGTGGGTTGTTGTTGAAAACATTTTTCACATTAGTCCACATTTCTTTTTATTTTACCAAAAGGTCTCTATAAAAGGAGTCAATTTTCTTTAATCCCTTAAGTTAATACAATGTTTTAAGTACTTTTTATTAAAACTATTAAATCATAAATTCACTTTTTTCACACCTAAAAAAAGATAATTCCTTTGCCTATAGTCAATCTTTTCCTATGATAGATTTGAGCTAAATTGATCCAAATTAGAGAAAGAAAGGGAGGACTAACAAAAAAAAGTCATCAAAGATATATATATATATATATATATATATGAGAAATAAAATTAAAAATATTTTATTTCACAGTAATTTTTTTATAGCAACTGAGAAATAAAACATTTACAGCAATAAAATATCC